GACTACTGTGTCTTCACTGGCACCCATTAGGTATTTAATTTACTTGCCTGAAATAGATTGCGAGGCCGTAAACGTGAAGCAAGTAATAAAACGGCGTAATGATGGTAATTATCTGAGTGGATCAATTGTAGTGTTATTGCAACGTGATATTGTGAGTAGGCGCAAGATACAGACATATAAATTCCCATTTTCAGCTTTATTTCCTCACACGTTTTTCCCAAGACACTAAAGTAAAAAACAACATAAATCGGCACTGCCATTCTCTCCTTCATCTCTTCCCACCCTTTTGTACTTTCGCCTTAACTTACTAAAACCAGCAGACCCCTACAAAAGCTAAATTTCTCCTCCCAAAAGCAGTGACTTTATCAGAACTCCATGGTTTTCCCGTGATTCATGGTTTCCAAATATGTGAAGTAAAACTGTATTATAGATTGGCTAATTTGTTCCCTTTTTTTGTTAACTAACAAAAATAAACCCAGAATGGTTAAAGAACTTGCTAAAGGTTACACAACCCAGTTTTGCCATGTAAACTGCAAAACATTTGAACTGGAGCCCAGAGTGTGCCTTCCTATCCAGGCTGGGCTAGGAACTGAGAGGTTATATCAGCTGCAGCTACCAGAAGAGGTTCAGTGAAACAAACCAAAGCAATCTCTGAAGGAAAGAGCAATAAGTCAGGAAGTTTCTAGTTTAGTTTTGGTGGAGAATGAAGAGAATAAATAATCTAGAAATAACCAATATTTAAAAGTTCAAATAGCTGATCAACATGAGGATTAAAGGAATGCACTGTGTAGGTGTCTGTCCATAATGTGTACTGGAAAGATACAGCAGGATTGCACCTGAGGCATAAGAGTGTCAGTAGTTTGTTCAAACAGGGATTCGGACAAGGAGAAACAAGGTGGAATCCAAGAACCTGAACTGAAGCTTGAAGAAAAAACAGGATTTGACTCTTAGGACTTCAGCTTTGACTTGCTGAGAAGATCTGACAATGACAACAGCAGCTCAAACAGCTTTTACTTGGAAAGTTTCTTTAACATTGGTGTTCCAGCCTCAAAATCATGTCACCTGAGTTTCATAGTTGATTCAGATAACAAGCTGTCCTACTCTGAAAGTAGGCAAATGCCAATAAAAACATTAAAATCAGTAGAACATGTAAAATCGCATATAGCCCATGCCTTCTACATTGGTAGAAAATGCATTAGGAATTTCAGGTTACTTTTAGTAAAAGAACAATACTAAATACCCACAAAACTCTGACTGCAAGCCTGCCTGTTCCTTATTGGGGGTTGGGGGTTGGGGAGGGTAATAGCAACAGGTGGCAGGAAAGCATTTCCAGAGGAGCAGATTTGATACAGTGTTGCCAGAACAACACTGGTGGATACAGGTGGTTCCCACCTGGACAGCTGGGATCCAGAGTGTGTGGTTCCAGAGGTGGTGGCTCAGAAAGGCAGTATTTCCAAAGAGAAAGATACAAAAAGAAAAGGAGTGGTTGCCCTTTGATGAAGTTTTTCTGAAGAGGGAGAAAGGAAGAGGAAATATTTAAAGGTGCTATAAAGTAAAAGAGAAAATAAGACCAACATTCTCTGGTTGTCATCCATTAAAGAAGCTAAGGGACAATCAGTGAACATGATGTGTTCGCTAAAGTAGAAGGAGCACAACTGGAGCATTGGTAGAAAAGGAGCAAAAGGTGCAATGTTGACTATTGCAGGTAGAATAGGGAGTCAAGGGACAGGATTTCAACTAGACAGTAACAAATAAAGTAAGACAGAAACAGGTAAGTGAACACTGTAAAATAAATTACTAGAGTAGATAGGAAATAAGCCTGTTGTGATCATTGCACTATACACGATGTCAAATTATGATGTACATGCAAAACCAACATATCTTATGCTTCATAATACTTTAGTAATACTGTCAATATTATTAATAAAGAACCTGACACTGGTGGATGAGGATGAAATAGAAAAGTAGGAAAAGGGATAATACCTGCGATAAATTTTAGATTTGATTTGACTTTTGGAATCATGTTAATGCTTTATACATTCAAAGAGTAAGGTGGAATGAACAAGGAGAGAAATTAGATGTGAGTACTGTCAGAACCAAATGAACTAAACTGAAATTCATATGAATAGTATACCAGGCTAAAGTAGGTGGAGGAGGAAGGAAGTAACATTCAAACACAGCATTCTGATTTTATACTTTTCATATTATTATTTTATGTTTTGTTACATTGTTGGATTGAAGGAGTGATAAATATAATGATGTTTATGTTGCATGTTCTCCATGTGCCATGAGAAAGGGAGTTATAAATATGAAAAGGGGCAGGCCAGGAAGAAGTCTGTGCATGAGGTATCCGTGCGTGTCTGTGTGCGCGCGCACGCTCACACAGGAAGGAAGGAGGGTCAAAAGATAATTCTAAGTCTCCATATTTCAATTCCCAACGAAGCAGAAACAGGAATCCTTGGAGAAAAGCTCATTTTAGTAATGGAGCAAAGAAAAATCAAATTGAGCTTGGACTATTTTCCTGTGCCAAAAGAGAAGGAACTTTTTAAATATATCAAAAAGGGCACAGCTTAATGGGGCTTGCCTTCTCAAAGCTGCAGTAATGGGCATCAAAATAAATAGATTAATGAATTATACTCTTAATAACACTAGATTCCATGTGTACATAATAATAGATAAATAAATAAGAAAATCACTTCTTCATGACAGAATTCAAACTGGTTACAGAGGGTAAATAATGGAGTTAAAAAAATTGCCAATTTTTTGGCCCTCCCTGGTGGCACAGTGGGTTAAAGCACAGCACTGAGAAGCTAAAGCCACTTCTGCATGAGTTCGATCCCCGCCTGCCCCGGAGGTGACCACATGGCATGGCAGACCTCTCCTGACCTGCCCGCTGCTCCCCTCAGCAGTGTACTTCATTGATCTCCCTGTTCTGCCCCCTACTCTGTCTCTGGTGAATCTCTCACCCTCCGCATGTCTGGCTTGTATCCCAGTTCTGTATAAATAAATAAATAAATCTTTAAAAAAAAGTCATTTTCAAAGTAATCATAACTTGTCAATGGTTGTTCAAATAAGTAGAAGAAAATTTGATGAGAAATAAGATATTTTCATGGTATGTTTCAAAGTATCTTCTTACAATTTCCTTCTTAATTGTGAGATGAAAGATAATAACTTTACAGTAGAGATTTGGATTCTACTTTAACTAAATGATCAAAGCTAACATGTCTGATAAGGAAACCCCCAGGCATCATCCAATTCTGATATGGTATACTGAGAAGGGCCCACCAGCATTTCTTTGCAAATCTGCCAAGTGTGCACAGGGAAACTGGAAACAACCCTAAATTAGGGAACAGACACAAACTAATTGCCTTTAGTGCTTTAAAAGTAAATCAACAATATGTAAGATAAAAGAACTATTCCACATAAAGGATTACAAATACATGTAATGCATTTTTTCCTGGAAAGGATTCTGGACTGGAAAAAATATCTACAATGATATTGTTATGATAATCGTTGAAATTGAAGTAAGGATGGATACATACCAGTTTGTACTTCCTAAATTTGACACCTCTATACTTGTTTCAAACTATCTTTGTTGTCAGGCAATATACACCAAAGTATTCCGATAAATGTTGCAACTTATTTGTGGGAAAAGATAATTGAAAGAAAAAGGAATGATATGTTGTAAATATTAACTGTTGGTGAATTTAAAGACAAAACATATGGGTTCTCCATTTTATTCTTGCAAGTCATCTGTAAATTTGAAATTATTTACAAATAAAAATAAATAATAAAGGGAAATGTTGATGTTTGTAGCAACAAAACATCATGCCATGCTTTTGAAAATATAGCTTTTCCCCATATCTGAATATCAAATAGGTATGTAGTAAAGGCAGAACCATGGTAGAGTCATGTCTGCTTGGGGTGGGGGAATAGCAAGTGGTCCCTTGCCTCAGCCTTGGCAAGGATTACCATGTGTAGTCCAGGCTTCATGCTTCATAAGACACCAAGTGTAGAGACCTATTTTCTTGATGCATTTCATGCTACTTTTAAAGCCTAATGTTCTTGTACATATTAGTTTTCCCCTAGTGTTTCACTAGTAACCTGGTAACCCTATGAAACCTAGTTTTCTATAGTAACCTATTGACAAACATTCAGGTACCCACATGACTCTGAGGATTGGGAAAGCAGTAATTTTTTTTTAAACATCATTCTTCATTTTGTGCATTTTTCCATCTCAGTGGTAATCCTTGCGGGCTTCCCACAGTCAGTTCACCGGTGTGCCATCACGAAAGTCCCATGTATGTTTACCATCCCATTTTTTTATCTCATTACCCTCTCCACCCCCATGAAATGTCTCTGGTATATAGTTGTTTGTTGTTTTTTTGTTTTTTTTCTTTATTTCAATTTTTTTTTCTTTCACCTGGTCCCTTATTCTCCTGGCAAAGCAGTAATTTTTAAAAGAGAGGGTAAAAGGCTAGGAATTTTTAACAGTAGTACAATTCTTAAATTTCTCATTCTATTCTTATTTTCAAATCATTGATTAACGAGGAAAACAATATTTAGTTTACATTTGTATTTATGCTTTGGTGAGTTTATCTGAGATTTTCTATGGCCTGAACATATATTGGGTTGTGAAATTGTGACAAGTTTTAATAAAGTGGATTAAGGAATTTCTTATATTTTCATGTTCATAGAATGAAATAAACATTGTAATATTTTTACAAAAGTCTCACATCAATCCATGATTTGATTTTCTACCTGTTTAGAATATAAAGTTTTACATTCCTTTAAGTGCTTAATGCATTTTTTTGTGAATAAGCTGGTAAGACAGAAGCCATCCTTGAGATATTTATGATAGTACTTAGAACAAACTTGTCATAGATTCTTCTAAAAGATCATTTTGGATCCCGAGGAGATATATTTTAGTAACTGTATTGACTAATTTGTCATATAACAGTTCATTGATTATTTTGTATTATTTTTGTATCTCACTGCAGGCAGAGAATTCAGCATTGGCTTTGGAAAATGAAAATCAAAGGGAGCAGTATGAGAGATGTCTTGATGAGGTAAGGGAAATAGAGAGGTTTTTAGTAAGGATCTGGACTATTTAGAATTTCCTTAGTCAGATCATAATGTATGCTCACTACTGGTCTCCACATTAACATTTTCTTTTCCAAATGAAAGTGGTAAACATGTGAACATTGAGAGGGGAGGTCATTCATCCCATTACCTCTGTTCCTCCCACTCCCATCCTGATACAGATTTTGTCCATATCCAAAAGTAGAACATTTGCATTTGGTATGATCTGATAGGTCATTTTGTAGGTCTCAAAATGTTATTACAGTTAGTATATGTGGGGGAAAAAAAAAGGCTAGCATTTCCATTCCCAAAGAATAACCTAGAAAATCATAACATATAGAAGTGTTTTACTTTCAGATGCGGGGGAAACCCACCTAGGCATCGGTAATCCTTTTGGTTTTTGCTTAATATTCTTGAGCACAGCTGGCATATGCTTCACTATATGATAAATTATTTTATATAGATTTTGTGATCATCTTTTGAATGACAAAACATCCATCTGGACATGCAACAGCTCCAATTGGATGTCATTTCTAAAGAAAACAGATTCTTGATAGAGTGGGTGGGAACGATGTTCACGGTGGGCAGCCAGAGGGAAAAATCAGTAGATTGAGAACAAGTCACTAAGAAAAAGAGAAGTGAGGAAGAAAATTTGAGCAGAATACAACTTGAGTAAACTTGAGAAATATCATTTGATTATAACGAAGAGATGAAGGCAAAGATGGTGGGTGTGTTGGAATTCCTGAGTGGTGAGAAGAAGATTGAAATGTGTCCAGGACCCTAACTCTCCTTTCAGCCATTCCTCTCATATCCTGTCAGGAATTCTTACTATGTCAGCCTGCCAGAGCTGACCATTACTCACAAATGAACTCTCATCAGGGCATTCTTAGTGATCAGCGTCACTAATATAATGGTCAGTTATCTAACCAGTGCCCTCAAACTTGTACATAGTCATTTAATGCATTCAGTTTGAGAGTTGTTTCAATTAATGTTTTGGGAAAATAAGAAAAACTTTATTTAATCTGGTTGTGTTACCTTACCAGTATCTTCTCAGACTTTTTCTCCTCTCTAACAATTGGGAAGACTTTTTCCAATAAACTCCTTTTGATCTTTCCTGCCTTCCCCTCTATGGTCCTAGAGATGATGGATTATACTACTGAGAGTACAGGTTCCAAATCCCACTTATGATATCCTCAGCATTACCATATATTTTCCTCCTTCCTTCAAATTAGAATTATCTTCCTCTTCTGAATTCCAGTTGTGCATGCTATTTACTATGCCAGTTTTCTCAAAATGTGATCCCTGAACCAGCAGCAGTTAGCCATCTGGGAACTTGTTAGAAATATTATCAGATACCACTTAAGATTTATAGAGTCAGATTGGGGGGTGGTGATTATCAGTCTGTGTTTCAACTAACCCTACAGATCATGTACTCCACACTTTGAGGACTATTATTCTCATTACATAGACCATATTAGTGAATTACATATGGTTGAAGAACCTTCCAAAAATCCAAAGAAAATAGTTTAATTAATTCATATTTCAATTAATATTTTAAGCATACATATTAGTTACTTAAACAAACTTGTGTTTACAGTTATTTGCCCTGTCAAGACTTCAAAAGACTCAGAATTATCCTATAATTCGCAAAGTTAAAAGAATAACTAACTTTGACACAGAAGAGGGGAGGGTGACTCAGGGTATAGTGAAGCCAGTTCAGCATTTCTCACCTCTGGTCCCCAGGCTCCTGGTCCAATCAAAGTGTACTGCAAGAAAAACCAAATAGATTCAAGGATATTTAGAGGGACAGATATTGCCCTTGGGTCATATGTATTGATCAGCAAAGTTTCATTTTAACCTCCTGTACAGAAATTTCCAATGGGACTTAATCTGTATTCAGAAGTCAAAATTATGTGAATCACACCACAGATACTTCATATTTGTCACAATTCTCTCATAACTCATCCCTCCTAATCAATCAAAAAGCTTACAAAAAAAAAACCAATATAATATCTTTTCCACATGTTTCCCCTACCTATATTCTGGAGTTTTCATCAGAATATATCAGGCAAAAGAGTTTTTACCTATATGTTCATTTCATACAAAGGTTCCATTGAAAGCAGAATTTTTAGAGGGAGCATCTTTCTGTTCTTAATTGCAAAAATTAACTGTTGCCAAAGAGGTGATTTGCAACAAAGAACCACCTCTGAGCTGTATGAATGTTTAGTACTCATGAATATTGGCCCCTGATTACACATGCCAGTTGTTTTCTAGCTAATTGCAGAAGGGTAGACAATCCATTTCCATGCATTGTAAAAGAATACTCTCAAAGGGATAGCTGAATGTAGTAATAATGCCAACTGGAAATTCCTTTCAAGGCTTTTTATACTAATTAGACAAATTAGCAAGGTAAAGGCTCATGTAAGTTATTTCCCTGTTAGTGGTTTTCATAAAACATACCTAGGTGGATAAAAAATAAATTTAAAATGTTTATCCATCCCTTTTGCATTGATTGTTATTTTGGGGAAATGAACAAATATTGAGGTTTTGGGGGAATCACTTGGGAATCTGAAATTCCCTATGTGTTTTATTAAAAGAGTCCATTTATTCAGAAGGAATGAAACGCACATCACCTAACCCCCTCCCTCATATTCTCTCTCTCTCTCTCTCTCTCTC